TTTTATTATTTAATAGAGAGGCCAGTAAGCGCCCTGGGTCATCGGGTGATAGGCGGTTGTGTTAATAATTAATACTTTATTATTTAATAGAGAGGCCAGATAGTGCCCCAGGTCATCGGGTGATAGGCGCTTGTGCTATTGAATAATACTTTATTATTTAATAAAGCGACCATGTGATTAATGTGCGCTTATGTTATTAATAATAATTTTTTTTACTGGACCGGCCAGGAAGTGTCCCGGGTCATAAGGTGATAAGTGCTTGTGTTACTTCTTAGTAATTAATCATTTATTCAAGTGGCCAGTAAGCGCCCCGGGTCATTGGGTGATAGGCGCTCATCTTATCAATAATTATTTATTGAACAGAGTGGCCAGTAAGGACCCCGGGTTTTTGGGTGATAGGACCCTAATGTGTACATATATTTAGCTCACTTCGAATCGGATGTCGGAAACGTCGGAATCGTTTTATACCGTATGAATTCGAAAATCAATGTAATTAACCAACTTCTAGCCTTAGCCCTTGGTCTATCTGCTTTGCGTCTGTGAATACCCTTTTACGAGTCCTTTCTCTGTGGTGTGGATTTGATAGATGATGATAGAGCTAAGACAGTAATAGGGCACTCCAGTACAACGCAGCCGTGCTAATAATATTGGCATATCAATATTGCACACGTCAGCATCAGTCGTTGAACGTAGTACAGATTAAAATAGTTTAATGAAAGTGCAAGCCACGTAATTTGATTCCTTGTTCGTCACTTGCGCGCGTTTGTTTCTGTCATCAGTGAGCGTCTCTCGCGCCTGGCGCGGCAGTGGCGGCGTCCTCAGCAGAAAGACAACCACATCGACTTCCCCGTCCCCTTGCTACTCTTTTGACTTTACTGATAGAATCATATCTTTCTTCAGCCGAGTACACCCAAGAAGTAATTTAATACTTGTAGCAAACCAGTACTACTGCTTAGAGATGGATCCTGCTAAGCTGAAAGTAGTGGAGCTGAGGGTGGAGCTGATGAAGCGCGGTCTTGATAGCAAGGGTAATAAACCTATCCTTATCGAGCGGTTACGTCAGGCAATCCAGGAAGAGCGGGCTTCCGGCGAAGCGCCCAGTAAGTAAACTTTCCTACATACATTATTGTTCTCGCAGGTCCATGAGGTCTGCGAGTTATACATTCGTTATTTATAGCTTTTTCTTCAATGATCAATCTTATTTTACTGATCCCTGTAAAGTGCTTATTCGTGTCTTGTCCTCGAAACAAAAATGTCTCACGTATGAAACACGACCCCTTTGTAGATTGCAAGTATAACCTCGCACTTCAGTCCCATTTTTCCCTCGTTTTTCATACTACCTCACACGCCAGCGCCGCCTGCCCTGCATCATGCCTTCCTTCCATATACCTATTTATCTTCGTTACTCATCCTACCCTCTTCTGCTATGTCTGCGGCTCGTGACCTGCGATTCACAGCATCTGTAATATAGTGTATCGCACGCCTATTGACATTTTTACCAATATTGGCGCTAAGCTGTTGCCTTATGCTGTGAATCTTCCATGTTACTTTTTGAGGTTATTCCCAGGACATTAGATCAATCGTGTCACGTTACACAACGAAAAAGAGAGAGGGTATTATTTTCAATTCTTACGATTGTTTAGGCAAATATAATTATACCGAGTCGAGCTTATGACGTAATGTTAACTAAGGGGAACTATCATCTTTCTTGGACCACATTACAGAATAGAAAGTACCTCATGCTATCTCAGTTCTGCAATAGGGTCCGAGACAGATCGGAGTTCCACTGAGTGTAAATTGTTCTTAATGACTTTAGCGAAAGTTAAGAAAGAAAGAATAATTGTGCTTAGGAGCTAAACAGTTCTAGTTCGCTATCTCCTGTATGAAATTGGTAATCTAACTTGCAACATTGATGTAAGTAATTGTTTTACTTTTACATCTTAACCCAAATCTGGTTAATAGATTTGCAGTTAGGTGTACATAACTTTTGTTTTATTTCATTATGTACCTCTTAAAATTTTTTTTACATTCCAAAACTAAAATCATTTCCGGAAAATTCAATAATTTTCCTTAAAAATGTCCTAAGGTTTCAATTTTCTTGCTATGAAAATTTTTTTTGACTTTTAAAATTATTGTGTGGATTTTTGAACTATTACACTTGGTTATGTATTTCATTAACATGACATACAATTTTTTTTTGTTCAAAGAAGTATGAAAAGAAAATTAATTATTTGTTTCCTTCAAGGGCTTAGCAAATTAAAATTCTATTTTTTTTACATACTTTTTTTGAGCTGAAAAATAATTTCTTATCATTTTCAAGCAATATGTAATGAAGTGTAATGGCTTCAAAATCCAGATAAAATTCATAGAATGATAAAACAATTTAAACAAAGTTTGGAAAAACTATGCTGTTGAAGTAGGAACTCATTTTGCGTCTGGCAGCACTTGTTGACTTCAAAATTTTTTAGATTTTTAGCATATGAATTTTAGATAACAACAGGTGTATGATTGAAGTCTCAATATCAGGAAATAACAGTTATTCCTGTTATAAAGGGGTATAAAAATTTGGTATATAAATGATGAAATCAGTGTTTATTAAATATGATACTAAAACCAAAGTCAGTGGGCCATTTAATAAACAAAAAAAAATGTATGTATTTCAGCTGTTGACTTGAATGAAAAATCAGAAATAGGCTCAGAGAGTGAAGAAGATTCTTCAGATACTGTCAAATTGCCGCCCAGAACTCCAAGCAGATCCTCCAGACACACTTCCAGAGAGCCGACAACTCCGGTAAAAACTCCAACTCGTAGGAGCAGTTCAAGATCCTCTCTCAGTAGACAGTCTCCAGCAAAGGCAATCTTGATTGAGGGTAATGAAGCTACCCCAACATTAGAACCTATTATTGAAGAGGACAAACCATCACCTATGAAAGGCACGGTTGTACCTGAAAAAGATATTGTGGTTACTATTTCATCAAAAAAAGATCCTGAAGCTTTACCAAAAAAAGAATCTGCATCAACTCCCAAGAAAGATGTAACACCAGTTCCATGCTTAGGATCACCTGGCCAAGAATCGACTCCAGTATTTACATCTGCACCGTCACCATCCCCTAAAGAAGCAGTTGAAACATCTTTTTCTCCATCATCACCTGCAAAGAAAGCTATCCCTCAGAAAAAAGCTAACCTTATAGATTCAAAAACAGAAAATGCAGCACAGAATGAGGTATTTTATATTATAATTTTACGTCAACTTTCTTTTTATTTTGATATTAATAATAACAGTTTTATTATTATGAAGCTGATAAACCTCCTAGAAAACTATGGAATTGAACATAAAGTTTCAGTCAAAGTTAATATTAAAAAACCCATGTATCTTGTCCAGTTTTTTAATTATATCTTATTACCTAAGGAACTGTTATGATTATATCTAACTGTTAAGCTATAATTTAAATGAGGTATTAAATAAAAAATTACTTATCACAGTTACAAAAAAAAGATGAATGTTTGGATGTTGTACAAGAAGCAGAGAAGCATATTTCTGAAAAATCTCAGGAAATAACAAGAGTTTCAGCAGAAGAATTATGTCAGAAACCAGACAATACAATTGCTGAAAGTAACCTTATGAAGGCCATTATTCAGAATCCAATCCAGACTTTCACTGAAGGTCCAATCAAGATTCCAGCTCAGAAAACAACAAAAACTGATATCCAATGTCCTGTCAAAAGTCAATCTGACAGCCAACTGATACCTACTACTACAAGTCTGGCTAAACAAGTTTTAACAAGTACAGTTAAACTATCGACAGAAAGCAGTGAAGATACAGAAGATCAGAGACCAGCACAACTTTCTTCTTCACTAAAGGTTGTATTTTATTAAAATTAATTTAAAAAATCATTAATGCATCCAAAACAATGCTTTTTTAAATGTATCCAACTTGAAATGAAATTTCTACTTTCAATAACTTGACGATTTGTTGTCTCTGTTAATTTTTGTTTTATAGCTGTTTACACACCTAGGGCGGTTAAAAGAAGAATTTTTTAGATTACTTGTGTATTGTCACCCAAGGCGAAGCCGAAGGTTACAAACACATCTGAACATTGTTTTTTTCCGCCCGTGGTGTATAAATAATTTTATACCTCATTTTGTTCAAAACTAATACGTCCACGTAGCGAGGGGTTATAAACCAGTTTCAGGCTTAGATGTGGTGGAAAACTTATACCTACCCAATTCTTGTTATTTTAAAAAAATGTATAAATGACACTGGCACTGACACTTTAAAATGAAATTATAGCTTCAGCAGAGTCCAGTCAAGTGTAATACTGAAAGTCTGAAAAGCCATAACAAAAATTTTCAAAATGAAGATGAGTTACGGAAAACTTTATTGCCTGAAAAATCAGAACGTTCCATGGTTGAAAGCGAAAAACAACCTGTTAGCATGAAAGTAGACCATGAGAATACTGACAAAACCTCAGAGTCAGATGAGCAGGTACGCTATGAAACACAAATCACATTTAAACTGAGTTCTTATACTGTTACTTGAAAAAATACTTTAAAAAATAAAATCGATAACGTACTGATAATTTGTACTTAAGCCCACTTGTCAAATCACTTTGACTGCTAGTTTATCAATGAGCTTTGTATTTACGCTGTTTATACTTCGAAATTTTTCAGCAAGATAAAGAAGAAAAGTCAAGCGACAAAAAAAGAAAAAGATCACCAAGTCCTATTTCAGAAGATGCTCCGCGGGCTCCACCTATAGCAAGACCGGAAAATGAACCGAACTATGATGAAAACGCTGTACTTCTCTCTTGGTGTAAATACACATTCATACACACATTTATGTATATGCCTAAATGGGCGCGTTTGAATTTCATCGATGAAGCGTCTGTTCTACAATTGATACAGCTTGAACTGAATTAACTAAATACACCAAGCAGCGTTGTAAGGTATGTACATATTGGCCTAATGTTTGTATGAATAAACTGCGTTCAATCTCAATGCAAATGCAAAAATAAACAAACATTGGCTATTGTTTACTCATTTTTCATGAGATGGATGTTAAAGTAATTAATTCAATGTAATTAGGTGTATTAAAGAGTACAAAACGCAGTCAAAATTTGGCAAATCCGTGAAAAGAATTTTTGTTTACCGAAAAGCTATTGTTTATCGACTTAAGTTTACTGGGATATAAATAATATACCGGAATCGTCAAGATTAATCTATTAGTACTGTATTTGTTGAGGAGGGCCGCAAGCACTTTAAATCAATGTATCAAAGAACTCGTACATATACTTAAGATTAATTAAATGAAATTTATTGTTTTAATACTTATTGCTTGTGTTAAATGTGTCAACAATAGCAAATGTTGACCATTTACCTTTGCATCTGCATTGAGGTTAGATGTTCTTTAATCATTTGAACATCAGGCTATTATAAATCTCACTACAATACTGATTTGTTCTGTATTCAGTTCAAGCTGCATCAATTATATAACTAACGGCAGAATTCGAACGCTTACTCTAAAACTAGTAATGTATTTGCATCTTATAGCTACAAAACTGTTTCTTTATGAAATTTTGTTTTACGGATTGACTATTAAGTGTTTGTTATAATTCTGATACATACAATTTAGCAGATCAAAGATAGAAGAAAGAAATTTTATTTTTAGATGATTCTGACTTACACTTGGTAATCAACACAATTAACTACTTCTCGGCTTCTCCGATGCAAGGCGAAGGTTTTAATTACATGTGGGCAGGCGCACGGGCTTCTCATGGATTTAACAAAGGAAAAGTCTTTTATGAGGCACGCGTTAATACTGAGTTTGACAATCTTGCTGCTCAGAACGCAGCTGGGGCAACCAACGCCAGTGGTGCGTTACCTGTTGATGAAGAAAAGATACCAAGCACTTTAAGAGTCGGTTGGTCGACGATTGGTACATCATTGCAATTAGGTAAAAAAAATCATCTGAGAATGGAATCCAACTTACAATACAATTTGTCTCATTCATTTTTCTTGTCAGGTGAAGACAAGCTTTCGTATGGGTATGAAGGTACAGGCAAAAAAGCAACAGATAAAGTATTTAGTGAATATGGCAAGGTATTTGCCAAAGACGATGTGGTTGGATGTTATGCCGACTTTGAAACTCATGAAGGAACGGTGATTCTTACATTCACTGTTAATGGTGAAACTCAAGGACCTGCATTCAATATAGTGAAAGAGGAACTTGATGGTAAAGCGTTGTTTCCACATGTATTAAGTAAAAACTGCTCGTTCACTGTAAATCTTGGACAGGAAGAAGCATGGAGTTCTACTGTATTGGAGGGGTTAGTCGTTTTCGCTGTGTTTTAAAAGATTACAACATTATATTCAAAGTATTCTAAATTATTTCGTCTACAGTTATCATTCTGTTGGAAAAATTGACATCAATCATAGAATAGTAGGTCCTCGCCGGCCGGCCAAAAGAGAAGATTGTGAAGTTATTTTATTATGTGGGCTACCATTTTCTGGCAAAACGTCTTGGGCTACAAAACACGTCAACGAACATTCTGACAAGTTGTACACGGTTTTAGGAATACACAATCTAATAAATAAAATGAGAGTGAGTATTTTTTTATTCCAGTGACGCCTCAGTAGATGCAAGCTTAGACATAATTATGTTTACACATTTTTGAAACATTTATTAAAAGGTGGAAGGATTACCATTAAAAGATAAATTCAAAGGTCGTTGGGAAGTTGTTGAAGAAAAATGTTCAAGAGCTCTTGCTAAATTATTGGAGTCCGCACCATCCAGGAGGCGAAATTACATTTTAGATCAAGTAAAATTTAATTTCTTATTTAATCGCTTTTGTTAAATCTTTTGACTGACATCAATTATAATAATTGAATTTTCAGCAAGCAAATGTGTATGGTTCAGCACAAAGACGTAAGATGAGAAACTTTTATGGATTTCATCGAAAGGCTGTAGTTTTAATTCCTTCAGATGAAGATTTTAAAGCGCGTATTGCCAAATGCAAGGAAGAATCTGGTCGAGTTGAAATTAGAGAATCTTCTATTTTAGAATATAAAGGTTTGTACCTTAAATGTAAAATAATTTAAGCGTTAATATAAAGTTACAGCATAAAAGGCAAATTAATACTTATATGCTTATACCTAGAAGTAGGTTAAATACAAACATGCAAAATTGATTTCAGCAAACTTAAGTGTACCATCAATAGGAGAATCGTTTGAAGAAGTTATATGGACTGATCTTGAAGAACAAGAAAGTAAGAAACTTATTGAAACTTATAACAAAGAAGGAAAAACAGCTGGTTATGGAAATCAACAGCAGCAACCCAGTAAGCGAAGTCGCTATGATAACGGTCATAAAGACCGAAACCATAGAGATACCAGAGACTACCGTAGGATGGGCTGTAAGTTTTTTGTTGCAACTTGTTTAAAGTTTATTTTTTTAATTGCAGTTTTATAATTTCAGTTAACGACAGAAGAAGCAGCTCGTGGCGTGGCGGCCAAAGCGGTTGGCGGGACAATCGTATACGCGGTCCGATGAGGCATGTAAGTTCAGGCTATGGAGCACCAGCTGCTTGGCGAGGCCGAGGTGGCGATCGCCGACAAGACGACAGACGGCAAGGTGGCGACCGAAGTAGAGGTCGCCAAGGTTGGAATACCACGGGGTTAGTGAAAACGTATTTTTAATTTTTAATTTTTTTGAATTTTCTAAATTATTTGTGAGTACACGCAGAAAAGTATCACAGGAATTTTTACCGTAAAAGCAACGATAATCCCGTGATAATTTGTCATTACGTAAATATTTACCGTAGTTGTTCATGAATTTTTATTCGGCCTTCCCCTCCAGCCAACCTAGTGGCATATCGGAGTCCCTGTGTAGGGTTTTTGTCCCACTATATATATATATATGTCGTCGTGGGAGAAGGTGCTGGAATGAGCAGAGAGACCTTGTATACGAGTGTGTGCTTTATTTACTATTATTACATGTGCGGCTCGGACTCGAGCTCGGCAAGGACTGAAGTCGTCAGTAAGCGGTTACACCGCACGACTAGTATAGAGTGGGGGTAAGCCCCTACAGTACTCCCCTCAAGTTTGAACGTAGTTAAAACTTACAAACGGTCTTGTACCAAAATATTTACAATTTTTAAACGTGTACAAACAAAATTTTACGAGGGTGAATACATTGCATGTCACAGACAAATAGATTTCAATAAGGTATCTGATCGGTCTTACAACTCTTCAGATCATTTTTAAACAAACAGTTTCGTATTATTACATAAACAGAGTACTTTTAAAATCAGCCTGCACTGCGGCACACAAATCAGTTACAAAACATTGTCAATTTAATAATACAAAAATTATGGAGCGCTGCTACTATTTTTTACAAAAATACATACAAACATTAGGAAAAAAACAAAATAATGAGCAACAGCGCCTCCCTTAAAGAGGTAAAATATCGAGCTTTCGTAACAATGCTTAAAATAATTAGGCTCGAATTATAAGCTTGCCATTGGTTTACGCGCGTGTCAATATTTTATCGTATAACCAAAACCATAAAAGGGAATTACAACGCTTAGCCATAACAATGAGAGCTGTTATAATTGGGTTATACGGACATCAGTCTTTTATACAATACAAAAATTGGACTAGAAATAAAGCTATCACATTAATTTGGCTAAAAATTATGCACAAAAATTAAAAACTAACTTATCAGATGTCAACAAATTATCTTAAAATGACACAGCGCTCCGAACCATATAAATAAAATTCAAGACAAGACACAATTTAAGTTCTACATAATACTGATAATTAACCTATGGTCCTTGTGACGCCACTCAATTAAATGCACATACGTAACGCAATATACACTCGCTGGTCTTGAACATGCGAGGGCGGCAAGGAGGCATGGCGGCAACATGGGCGATGTTACTTCACACAGCACGTGGCTTCCAAAATGGCCAATGTTGCGACGATCAGCACGTGGCCCCAAAAAAAAATGGCCAACCCTTTGGCACGCAGCACGAGGCCAAGCACAAAATGAGGCCAAACGGCTGCCGAGGTGTCAACGACTCTGCCTAACATGTGCAGAAGGGCGAAGACAAAAACCTCGAAGACGAGCGCAGCGGAATTGCACCTGGTAAAGTCACACCTGTAGGATGATGAAGGTGGAGCATGTGGCCGATGTACAGGCTCGAAAATGGGCGCGCACACAACAGCAACACACATCATATGGTCAACAATGCAGATCTTGGCGATGAAGGAAGGAGAAACAGCACCACGAGCACCAGCCAGGTCAGGCAACGAGGCATCGCATCAGGCGACGACGTCGTATCAAGCGCCAATATGACCCACGTGGGGGCGAAATAAGCTCGGGCTTAGCTGATAAAGCGGTAGCGACAAAAGAAAAGGCTCACCGAGGTTGACACTTCCAGAATAAATGCCCCAGCAAAGAAATCTCCCGGTTGACGAGGATGAGCATGTCGGGCGACCAATGCCAGTGCCAAGTCGACGACGACGAAGACGATCAACAAAATCACGTCGGGGTCACCAATGTAGGGTTTTAGTCCCTGTATATATTATATGTCGTCGTGGGAGAAGGTGCTGGAATGAGCAGAGAGACTTTGTATATGAGTGTGTGCTTTATTTACTATTATTACATGTGCGGCTCGGACTCGAGCTCGGCAAGGACTGAAGTCGTCAGTAAGCGGTTACACCGCACGACTAGTATAGAGTGGGGGTAAGCCCCTACACCTGTGGGTACCCAGCTCCATCTAACAAACAACAGCAACAACAACCCTCCAGCCCACGTAACCCTGCAGCCTATAGCTATATGCACTTTTAGGGGAAATTTTACCGTTGCTGTACAGTAAAAATTATAGTGAATTTTCGATAAATTTTACAGTTACCATAAAAATTATTGTAAACTACGGTAAAAATTCATGAACATCTACGGTAAAATATTTACGTAATGACAAATTATCACAGGATTACCGTTGCTTTTACGGTAAAAATTTCTGTAATTCTTTTCTGCGTGTATAAATGTATACATATGTTATCATGCATTTATACTTTTTAACTTGATTAAATTGTGTCAACATTATAAAGTATTACTGCATGCAAGTATATGTATTACACCTATGTAATATCGACACTCTAGGGTTTAAGGACTTCAAGGACTAATGTATTATATCACAAAGCAGGGAAATAGCACATTTTCGTCCACGCGTATATTGCCACCCAAAGCGCAGCCAAGGGTAGCAAATACGTGAACGAGAATGGGCCACTTCCTTGCTAGCTGAAAGCAAATGGAAAGTTTGCGACCAGAAATAGATTAATACTTGCAAAATTTTACATAAAATGGATACGCAGTTGTTCCTTCGTTGTAAATGCTCATGCGTTTACTGATCTAAAGATTCTAGGTATTAAAGTGACAGAGAATAATCGACAGCCCCAGTACATTATTCAGTAGCCGCAGTAATAGAAGTCGTTCAGTCACATATGAAATTTAATGATATCCAAAATTCATATTAAAATTTGCTTCACCGGCACTATGTAAGTTATATTTATTGACCACGCAGTTCTTGTGACCGTCGTTCACTTATGTACGAAATGTAGTAAAACACAAAACAGACGTTGGTAAACCATCAAGTCTAGTATCTACAGTAGTTTATTTTAAATACTTACGAAGTTATATATAGTTCGATCTAATTCTGATATACTTAAATCGATCGAATTTAATGCTGTAGTTGTTGTAAAACCAATGATACTATTAATTACAATTTTTTATCGACATAGTCAAAGCCGTCCGTGGTTTGATCGGCACAAAAGTATTATTCATATATGGGAACAGTTGGACGACCTCAACTTTGTTGGTAATCAACTGAAAATTAACACTATTGATGTTTTTGCAATAACTACAGCATCAAAGTCGATCAAACGGACATTATCTTTGTTTTTCAATTTCCTGAGTTTACACATTAATTATTTACTGTGTGAATTCTCATTTCAAGGTTACACAATGTTGTAACTTGTATTGCTTTTCCCAAAATTAGGGCCAAAAGAGACCTTAATACGTTTAACTTGAATTCAAAAATCCCGAATAGAAATGTGCCGTAGCTTGCCTGACTGCCTGTGCATAGAATGCAAATTATTCGTAAAAGAAAAATATCGGAAAAAGGAAAACCAAACAGATTTAACGGAAATAATGAAAAAAAAGCTAAACTTACAGATAATATTAGTGAAAACTCAGAGCCATATTCAGCAAGAAATTTTGGAAGAATTAAACACAACTAATGACAGTGTAAGAAGAAAAAAAAAACAAACAATTGTCAATATTGATAAAGTTCGTGATTTGTACGTACAACTTCGGAAATGGAAAAGAGAGTGTTTTATTGCAAATAGTCACATAGATAAAATTTTAAAATTATTGCAATATCACATTCCCAGCTCACCTGTTTCCCATAAAACTTTACTGAAATCAACTTCTCTGTTTGAAAACATTTTTTTATGTAACATAACCTTACTATTTAATTGTGTAAAAGTCAGTTCAGGACTAGATTATATTTGTCCAGGTTGCCTGAGCTAAGGCTGCCTGTGCAGGAGCCTGAGCAGGTCCTATGCACATCGTTGGATAAAATTCTATTGATGCCTCAGCAGGTCCTACGCAGGCAGCTCAGGCACCTGTCCAGGACCTGTTCAGTGCCTGAACTCAATTTCTGTTCGGGATCGAATTTTTTCATAATTAATTTGGCAGCAAACGAACTTACCGGTACGTGAAGTTCGACCGAAATTATGCGAAGAAGCCTCGTTTGAAGATATCACAAGAAAACACAACGTAGTCCCCCCTTTCCCCTCGCCGTCCACAAGCTTAGAGTATATCTGTATATAAGTATGACGTGGGGCCCTAGTAAGGTATCCTCCATAAGAGCTGTATCTATGTAAGCATAACCAAAAAAAACGTTTAAGATTATTTTCAGAACTTGAAAAGTGTTTCAGCCCTAAAGTAATTGTTTAAATGTCCGTGACGAATTCTTTATGACTCAATTGAAATTCGAGCCATAAATTGAATTTCGATTCGTATAAGCCAACAAATTAATATTTTGTTAAGTTTTTCTGTGGAATTGTAAAAAATTTATGTGGATTTTCTTTGCCGACTTAGAAGATTGATTTTTCAGGTGGAATAATTAAAATCAACTCTTTCATAACTTTACGTTTAAAGTTCTTGCGTGTTTCTTTTATTAACAATAACAGTAGAGTAAACACATAAAAAATAAAAATATGAAACCATCTAATGATGAAAGAAATATCTGGTTACTAGGAAAATTTATCTGAACAAAAAATGTCAGTATGCCAGTAAATCCAGTTTGATAGATTTACGCTGTATTTCTCGAAATATTTCTCTAACTAATAGCGAACAAAGATTTCAATGTTACTTTGAGATAAGGTAGAAACGACAAAAAAACTATTGGTCTTTAACGAAGTAGCATAAAGAGTAACAAGCAAAATTTTGACTTACAAATCGTTCAGCAGAAGAGGCGATTCAGCAAAAAAAATCAAAAGCCAAAATAAAGAACTATGCAGAGAGTCCTTTGCAATACCACGAAAATAACAATTCGTGTGCGTTTAATTTAGTAGCTATGAAGAAGCGGCTACTTGCTATCCGCGA